ATCAGAAGGTCGCCGAGGATACTTTGACCTTGCTCGGCAATGGAAAGGTCGAATGGATCAATCTGAAAGAAAGGTATGCCTGAGACAAGTGAGAAACGTGCAACCAAATGGTAAAAGACGTACCGACGAACCAGCGGACATTGACAAAACTGGATATGCTTTTCATTAGAATGAAGAGATCGGTCGTGTAGTCCAGTGGTGGCGTTTGTGTCTGCGGGCGATTAGTTTGGAAACAGGTGGCAACGAAAGACGCATACAGGATTAGACAAACTCCCAACGTCCTTGTTGATCATTTTGCCATCTGGAAGCGTGTCGACGAGTTTTGCGGTCTCCTGAGTGTTTCCTCCAACGCGTATCCTAATATAGCCAGCAGTGAGCACGCTGCTGGATGTTCGCCATGAGGTTGAGGAAGGGTACGGCGATGTAAGACGAATTTTTGCCGACTAAACATCCCCTCAGCGAGAAAAAGAGAAGGAAGAGAAAGGCGACTTGCATGCTTGGTTGACCACGGACATTTCTATCGAGAAACCAAAGAAAGCGCCAGTCTGGGCTATCGAGACACCTGGCGTGCCGCCCTTTTGCAACTGGATTCCAAAGGCCATGGGCGGTAATGGGTTGGGAATAGGCGGTGAATTGAGGACGGTAGGGATATACGCTGCGGCACCTGTGCAGTCGGCTGCAGGCGCACTCGAGACGCTGGTCGGCGCGCCGAGGTGGTGCTGCTTATGCACAGTGACCTGGCGATGGACGCCGTTGAGGAAAAGAATGGATTATGGCGGGTGAATATCTGAGCGTTGTTCAAGATGCTTGAGTGATCATTCCCGAACTGCGTTTGGCTTTCGATATCGATAGGACATCCACATCATGGACGGAAATAAGGAGAACAAGGCCTGCCAGAAGCATCGAAGCCTTGTAGAGAAAATAAACGCGACACGTTTCAAATGCGTCGCGTGCCAATGTTGAAAGCGAAGGTGGCGACAGCGAGGAGAGGGCGCAGGCCATACCGGTAGTCGAGAGACATTGCGGGTGTCATCGCTTGATTACTCCTACCGGTGCAAAGCTAAATAGGACAAGGGACGCGTCACGAAGACAATGCCCCAAAGAATGCCGACCACAGTGTGAACGGTGTTGCGCCAAGAAGAATTCTGAGGTCCCAGTTGGCGCGAGAATAACGATGACGACGGGACCGGGAGGCGCAATGTCACTGCTGAGAGCAGCCGGATAGCGAGTAAAGGGGTAGCGCATCCATCGGTGACGATGGTGGCGGCTGACAAGGAGGGAAGGGCTTTGGCAATGTTTGCCAAGCGACCTTCCCCAACAACGAATCTGCTCCATTGTGTACCCGAACTTTGATTGTGTACCCGAACTTTGTCGGGTACACAATGGAGCAGATTCGGAGGCCCTCACGTTGCCGACGCCGGCATCAGGGCCGGTTTTCCATGTTGCCTCCCACCACCACGATCCTCTCGTTGAACTTCCTTGTTCGTCAATTCGGTCCTGCCTCTTGCCAGTCCCGCCATGCGCGGCGCTTTCATCGCCATCGTAGATGGGTTCAGTCAGTGCCACGACAACGACTCCGTGGACACATGTATCGCGACGTCGGGCCGACTTGGAGAATCGCCCTCTGTCTCGGAGGATGTAACCCAAGACGTGCCGTACGTTCTTGAGCCCGTCATTATTGTCTGGTGGGACATTTCTTTCAAAACTGACTTCGTCCATTAGAAAAAAATTCGCCCTCAAGCACCCTTCTTAATTCGTGGATTAGAGCCTGAATTTACGCTGGGCGCCACGTTCGCCAGACGTGCGAATTCCGAATGTTGCTCGAAAGGTGCGTCGTATTGTTGAGCTTGCCTACTTCTTCACTCACTTCTTTGTTCACCGCAGCATCGACCACAAGTGACTTTGGATATTTACAGTCACCTACTTTCGTAGACTTTCCCCCTCTCATGGTCTCTCATACTTGTCCCTCTACAATCACCACCTGTGCGCTGTCGCCATCCCACTCTGTACGCTGTACGTCATCCCACTTCGTTCGACTGTCAGTCAGTGTCTTGAGACTTACGTTTATGCAGCGTTTCAACGCACCTAAGAGGACTACGGCGACGCCAGGACGACTTTTCCCGCACTCTGCTCTTGAGGAGCACCGCGAACGCGTAAGCCTCCCGAGGGAGCCGCAGCGCTTCTGGGACAACGGCGAACTATTTGGACGGCGACGGGCCTCAACAGGTCGGAGCAGCCCTGCGTTGTCGTCATCAGGCCTCCACCGAGGCAAGGGTTGGGCCTGGAAGCGTCGCCGTACGTATCTTTCAATCTTTCTTATTTCTGCTCGAATTGATCCTCTCTACTTAGGATTTCTTTATTGTGTTCCGCCCACGACTATCCCATCAATCCCGAGGAGACACGCTCACAGCTCATCACGAGCCCTCTCCTACGTTGTGCGCCGTCTGCCATACACCTGTCTTGAGGCTTACCTTTCCTGTAGACTCACCCGAACGCTCTCAAGACGACTACTGTCATGATTTCCACAATTCGCCCGCAGCCAGAGTGTGGCTTTACACGGAGGTGCAACGAAAGGATTTCGACAATGGGTTGATTATATCTCTGCGCTAAAGTAAGTCTATTTGTTTAGCGTCGTCGTTGACTAGCTTGCTAACAACTTTTCTCAGATTTTTCTATCTATGCGCGCTGTCTTGTGCAACATAGACAGCATCGCCGCATCTGTCATCTCTGGCTATCGAGTTCACCTACGAGCTACTCGGTGCGTCGAGCTTTCTGTTGGCTCTAACAGCACTCATTCCGCTCCTTCATCAGATTTTGCAGCTTGCCTCCTACCACCACGATGTGCGTTGCCGGCTCTGCGCCGTCGCTGTCCCTTCACTCCCTGCACTGTAATCTCATCCCATTCGACTGTCTTGGGGCTTCCGTTTCCGAGAGAAGTGCCCGAACGCACCCAAGAGGACTACCGCGACACCAGGACGACTTTTTCGCGCTCTGCTGTCTCGAAGAGCAGCGCGAACGCGTAAGCCTCCCGAGGGAGCCGCAACACGGCAGCGGGCTCCTGCCTCTTACCAGTCCCGTTCTGCACGGTGCTCTCATCGCCACCGTTAATCGGTGCAGTCACTGCCATGGCAACGACTTCGCGCGATACTACTAGACAGGGAGGGCGACTCATTCAAAGCAATGCTCGGTGCGGACGATCCTGTTCAGCGTGAGGAGTGTTGCACGTAAATCTGGCTTCTTCATGTCTTACTCTCGGATGAGACATCTCTTTTTGACGCGCTCGAGGCGTGAATGTTTGTTTGAAGTGACGCGTGGGTTCCTTCCTACCATGATCACCAACCATTACGCTCACTGTTGTCCTTACTCTAGATGTTGCTGTTGCGGCCCTTTCTCCTACTCTGGCGACTCCTTTCACTGTCAGTCCCGTCTACGAGCTCGCTAACATTTTTTTGCAGACTGGCGTCGACTTAACGTGGGATTGGAAGGCTTAGGCAGGAGTCACTCGCTGAAGGTGCTTTGTTTGCCGTCTTCATTTTCTCGCTCAATATTTACTTTGCCTTTTGCAGACAGCTGGCTGTACTTCCCACTCTCAAGAAGATGTCACCGACAGCGACGACGACGACGAACTCAACTGTAGCTCGACTCTCAGCCATGGAACTCGTAGTCCTCGAGCGCGGTTTTAACGGTACGCCGTCCATCACCCCCTCAATGAGTTGGAGCAGTGGCACTTGAGTACTTCTTGAGCGTAGGTTGAGTACGCCTTGAGTATGCCTTCGAAGATTAGGAATAAACATGTTTAAGTGAGATTTATCGTACTTGAGTGATACTTGAGGCAAGATTGAGTACTTGGGATTGAGTAGTATGTAAGTCTATCCTGCTGTTCATACATAACCCTTCATCTTGAGTATAACTCATACTCAACTCATACTCCAACTGGCTCGGACCAAGGATCTCAAGAAATTGCCATCAGGTGGTTGCCCATTACCCAATTATCTGTGGGCGGAATGTGGTCTAGCGACCTGTTCGACTGGCTGCAGAGCTCTTGTAGGGGATTGGAGACGTTGGCGCTCCTCGGGGCCAAGGAGCTCATGTCTCCGGCAATCATGCTCAGAGCGAACGCGGATACGCTTCGACATGTGCAGCTGACTGTTCCTCGGATGTATAGTGTGTCATTATCTCCTCAAGTACATTCGCACTTGATCTGACTTTCTTTATTTTATAGCACCGTTGAATCTCGCCGTCATAAAAGATCTTCACAGTCTTCTCTTGAAGCTCACCGACGACTCGCGTGCGTGTATCGCCTGTGCCGTCAAGATACTGCAGTCGCTTGACCCGCTCCGACCGCCCAAGGAAGTGCGCGTCCAGACCCAGTTCAATTATTTGTTCAGCTATGAACAGGTTTCACCCTTTTCCGAGATACTGGGAGGTAAGCTGCGCATGAGATTGGTAGCGAGTGGGCGGCATACTTTGAAGTATGTCGGTGTTGGACTGAACGTCGAGGCGGGAAGGGGCTGAGGGTCCAAACAGTCTGCTCGTCGGTCAAAATGTTTATGGTCCAGGACAGATCCGACATGCCGCGTGGGCCGAGTGAAGAGGTGGATGCTCCCTCGTATCCGAGTCGTAGGGGCTTCGATTGTGCACGTTTCTTTCCTTTGTCATTGCGATGATGAAGCTTACACCCTCTAGCTACTCAGAGACAAAACGTGCATTCTCTTTTTCTCTCGTAGAGCCGGGTTTACGAGACTATAACATCCCGACTGATTCTAATACAAAAACCTTGAATTTCCTTCAACCGATGGCAGCCACTGAGCCAACCTTGTATCCGCTAGTCTAAATTTCTCTTCAGAACGCTCTGCACCCGGGCCGCCGCTTTCGAATTCCCTTTTGTGTAGCGCGTTCCGAGCGGCGAACCGCTGCATTCATCGACGCATAAGTCTTTTTCTACTTTGTCAAGTTGACAATGCACAAATCTGGAGAGGAAGATTTGAACATGATCATCATCGGATATGGTGTAACGGCTAACATTGCCGCCTCTCATTCTTACGAGAGCTGGTATTCTTTCGCGGCAGCTCGGGGTTCGATTCCCCGTATCCGAAGTGGAGCGACTCGCCATAAGCTTTGCCTAGGGTGGCGCAGTAAACCTAGGGTGGTGAAGTAAAACCTCCGGGTAGGTAACTTACCGGTAAGTTACCTAGGGGGTCCCAGAGGTCTTGGTATCAATACGGTAAGTTACCGTTACTTACCGAACACGTGACTTTTCACGTGAGAAGCGTGGCGCAATTTCTCGCGGGGCTTCTGGGCCGTGTTTTTTTTGCTCCTCAGAGCGAATTTTTGGGCTTCAAAGTGCACATATTTCAACTGTATTTACCATACAATGCCTTACCCACTATCTGTGACCTAAGTACCCTCTCATCTCCACTGTTCTCCACCCACAACCTTCCCTCCTTCCGCCGCTGATCACATGATAGGTCACGTGTTGGGTAAGTTACCTACCTCCTCAACCATGAGGTAAGTTACCGGTATCGATACCGGTAACTTACCGCAGTAAACCCTACCGGTATCAAAAACCTAGGGTTTACTTCACCACCCTAAGTAAACCTCCGGGGGTGTTAGTAACGGTATTGATACCAATCCCCCAGGAGGCCCTGGTTTTGAAACCGTTAGTAACGGTTTCGATGCCGGCACGTGCTTTTACCACGTGATGTGGCGCACCCCTCCGCCGCCCTCCGCCCGCCCTTATCCCGCCGCTTTCAGCTTGCCTGGGTGCCAGCGGGCCATCACGTGAATTTGTCACATGTCAGTATTGAAACTGTACTGATACCTAGGCCGAGGTTTCAATACCGTATTGATACGGTTAAAAACCGCAGTACACCCCAGGTGTATCAAAACCTAGGGTTTACTGCACCACCCTACAAGTTTTGCCCTCATCGTAAAACGATTACTTACGCCACAACAAACCTCAGATGGTAGTGTTACAAAACTCAGACGGTAGCATAACACAGTAAGCCTCAGGGAGGTGTAATAAACCCAGTATACAACATGTACACAGATCTTCACTGCTTTCGAGAGGCTCCCAGCTTACTACTTCTAGCCTGGTATCAGGCAGCTCCCTCCTCACTTTCAGTGCAACTCAACTGGTCACTGACAGGGCCAACAGGCACCACACCTCCACGAGCCTATCGGATGCGAAGGGCTTTTTTCTTTCAAAACTGTTATTTACCGACCAAAGAGCAGCAAAACTGTATAGAGGATAAGCAAACCCACACCGGTGAATGGACGCATTCGGCAACGTTGCATTTCTTCCGAATCACATTAATCCAGACCGTCTCTCAGATCTGAGCTCTTGTCCGCAGCCTGTACGTATCCACAAACTCCCATATATCCAAGTCGGATGAAGTGGCATCCAGATACTGCCAGTCCAGAAGCGGATCGTGCTGTATTGGATAACAGACTACCCCTTCAAGCCCGGAATGACAAGGATCGGGGCTCACAATTATGAACCTCGAGTCTGTCAAAAAGGGACCAAACTCGGAAGCGCGCCAGCTCATTGAAGGTCGCGTAACGTTCTGGAATTCGATTATAAAGGCTTTCAACGTAGGCGGTGCGACTGACAGAGCGCTACGGACAAACTGCTCTTTATCTGTCGCCCAGCCTGGCGGGGAATCGGGGTAGAAATCGACCATGACGTGGGTCAGGAAAGGACAACGCGCGAAGACTGATGTCCACACAGCGGTTAACCCGTTCCCGAAAGGTACATCGAGTTCATCAAATTTCACGTTTAGGTGCGTGATATTGCGAGGAAGAAGTGTCTCGACGGTGAGAGGTGAGTCCAGTTCGGTCATCATAGAGAGATATCGGGTCGAGGCGAGGCTCGTGTTTATGTAGGGTAGTAAATTGTTGGTATCGCACCACCATGCTAGACAGTGGAGGCCTGTAAGGACGTCCAGGAGACATCGCAGATCTTGTGCGTTGTAGATGTCGTCGTGTACGCAAAGGCGTTTGACATGGCGCGCAAAGAACGATGGGTCATTGCGTGATCGTATTGTATTCGCAAACGTTGCGCATCCGTCGGCGAAGTAAATGAGAATAGTGTGATAGAGGATCGGGTCAATCCTGGATTGCGACAAGCGATGATGATCAGTCTAAAAGAGAACGAGACGGTCAAGAAGAATTCTCACCAGGCGCGGACAGCCTTGGACACAAGGACGAGACGAGACGCATCTCGCCAGCTGATGATGGCCGCCGTCTCAAGAATATTACGGGCAATATCCACAGGGAGGTCAGGAAATGGAAATCGCAATTGTACGTTTGCAATTTTTGACATGTTGATGGTGGTCACTGGCAGTGGTAAGAGGACGATCGAGCCCTACCTCGTGACCTTAACAGTCATTATGATTCAAGCCGTCAATCATTGCTTTTAGACCATCTCCATCTCGTCCTGTGAGCGCAAGTAACATGGCCGACTTCTGCGACGCCTGGCGTAGTGCCAGCTCTCACCCTTTATTCGACTTCAAGACTTGCAAATGCGGCGGCGTCGACACAATGGGGTTTCCCGCGTCCAAGGCATGCGGGAACAGTGCGGCGCGTCTGGTCGGTATCCTCGCGCCGATCCTCATCGTTGTCGTAATAGTCTGTTGGATACGCGGGATCAAGAGAGGCTTGGAGGAGCTCGCACTCGTCATTGCGGGGCTCTTCATAGTCGGCCCTGCCCTCTTCTTGATATGGCTCTACAAGAAGTTCGTGGACATACTTCTATGGGGAAAGGCTCGCGGGGATGCTGTTGTGGACACGGCGCTTCACCAGCTGCACAAGCAATTTGGGCCTGTGGTGAAGCAGAGGGTCGTTTGCGTCAAGCAGGAGCCGGTGCTGCCGAGGGAGCTGTGCGATGCAGTCATCAGCGCTTGCGACGATCAAGAGACATTGTTGGCGTGTAGTCGGGTGTGTATTGCGTGGACACGTATGAGCAGGAGACAGTTATCCGTGCCAGCACGAGTCACGTCATACTCTCGCTCCAAACGCGTTGGCAGTCTCCTGCATTCCCGCGTTCAAACCATCGCGCCATGTATCCATCACATCGAGTTCCAGGGGAAATTCTATGGACAGCACTGGCGTATTCTACGCCTGTTCAAGCTTAAAGGCGTACAACTTCGAAGCGCGACTTTTCGAAGACGCGCACGTCCCATCCGCCATCTCCTCCACTTCTTCCCAGACTTCATCGAGAGTTTGGCGTTCCATGTCATAACCCCGAGCCCTGATTCGAGCTGCATCCAGGCTCAACCTGCTCACGAGCTACGGCACTTCCTCTCGCAGGCGTTGCAGTTTACGCGTCTCAAGTCGCTGACCGTGAGCATCGACCTTGATATTGTGCCGGGATGGAATCCTAAACTGCGAGGAGATCCCACGCCTGATGAACGACCTTTGACTATCGGGCATTTAAAGCTATGTGGTACATGGTCGGATGATCTGGCGGTATGGTTGCAGAATCGGTGTCGGAAGCTAGCGAGGCTGGAGATTCACACGACTGGGGGGTGGGGGTTCTCTACAAGGCTTCTGGAGGCGCTGGTGAGATCCAATTGGGAAACGTTGGAACATCTGGAACTGGCCGTTCCTGTGGTTGGTGGTTCGTTCACGTCGTCGATTCGCTGATATATGGTGTTGAAATATTTTTTCATAGCGCCGTTGAATCTGTCGTCGCTGCAACGTTTGCAGACGCTGCATCTGAGGCTTGACCTGGAGACACCTACGTCGCGCAGTGTGGATTGTGCGATAAAGATTCTGCAGCTGCTGGATGGGAAGTATCCTCCTAGTGAGATCATCATTCTAGCCGCGTCCCAGAGCTGCGACAGACCTACTTCCCTCGATAGTCACGCTCAAGCTTTTGACAATGTAGCAATAAAGTCGCTTGGTATGTCGTTAGGGGAAAGACAGTCATCTCTCTTCAGATATGTATATAATACTCTTGATTGAAATTCTTTGTAGTATGCTACGAAGTAGGAAGAAGTAGAAACAGGGATAAATTGTTGAAGGAAGCCGGAGGCAAGTTGGCGGCCTCAAGGACGACGACGAAGATGGAGGGCGCACAGAGGCACAACTTACCGAAACCGCACGACGGTGAACAGAAGTCGAACGATGATGTTGGGATAACTGAGGCAAAAGAGCCTGATAATTTTTGATGGAACATGTTACAGTACATATCTATGGACCGGGCAAATACATGTAAAGTACTACAATTACATAGAGGGTGATTGTCGACAATCAATCCGAATGGAAGTCGTAAAGCTCAATGCTTACGCCCGGTGTTTGGCGCAAGTTTAGGAGCGTAGACGCGTCGATGGGCCAGTAGCCGCCCCTGGACCAGACTTTGAGCTCAACCGTGCAGAGAGCACTGCGCTCTATCCTGCGCGACACCATGTCCGCGAACTCTTCATCGAGGAACATGTAGTCCGCCCAGAGCAAGTTGTGCTGCCGGTCCTCGATTTCGATGTGGAAGTTCTCAAGAGAAGGCAAAGAGAAATAGTAACCGTTGTTCTCGTCATTCCGTATAAAACAAATAAGGTACTGCAGACAGTCATCCTGCTCGTCGTCCCATTCTGCGAGAAAGAGCGTCAGTGATTGTAGACTGCGAGCCACCGACCCGCTTAGGATAGAGAGTGTTTCGTAAGGATATGGTGAGGGACGGATAGTGCCATCTAGAAAGCATACCATCACTAGCGAGGTGAGCGATGGGAGCAGCAGTGACTCAAGGAAGGCCGGATCACCAACCGCAAGTTCTGTTACGAGCGGCTTGACAATTCGAACAGGGAATTCTCTGAGCGGAGTGTATGGCGCAGCAGACGTCATGTACTCAAAAGACGAAAGGGAAGGTGAATCCTCCAAGGCCTGAAGATAATGCATGCGCGTCGACTTGACATCCGGTGCATCATCATTGTATACGTTTCGGTATCTAAATGAAGTGAGGTGCGAGATAGGTAGAGAAGGCGTGTAGGAGATTGGGAAATCGGTCAACTCCAAACTTTGGAGATTGCGCGCATTTCGGAATGCAACCACGGGGTCAAGATCAGAACGCTTCGAACGATAGTACAATGATAGACTGCGA